ATAATCTTATAATATTTCTATATATTATAATCTTATAATATTTCTATATATTATAATCTTATAATATTTCTATATATTATAATCTTATAATATTTCTATATATATATATATATATATATTATAATCTTATAATATTTCTATGTATTAATTATAGTCGACATTCTTTATAACATTCTTTATAAAATTCTTTATAACGAACTAGTGGATCTTATTGTAAAAGTCTTTAAAAAGTTCATTATAGAGTAATTTATTATACCTCTATACCGAATTCTATAATAAAAAGGTCATTATAGAATTGATTTCATTTATTGTCAAGTCTTCTTTGACGTTCCAACGTCATATGAAAGTTAAAGAATATTCGGAGATTTTGTCGCTATGGTTGTTTTATTTTTCACGTGCACTCGAAATTTATCTCATAACTTTATCGTTAATTCTCAGCTTTAATTATGCCGCAACCTATTTTGAGCGATATTAAGATGGCTTACAATGCGATTATATGCACACGAGCATTTATTCACATGAAATTATCAGAATAGTTTTTTCAGCGTGCACCTTACATCAATAAGACGTTATAACATGTGGTTTAATTACAGTATTCTACTTTAATTCACCTGAAGCAGATGTTATTACATGTGGCAATTACATATCATACTTTAATTCACTTTAAACAGATAGATAGATACAGCTTCTTGAACTCGTAGATTTTTACGAATTCATGACAGGTAGCAAAAAGGATTCTCGACGATTCAATTCATGATTATTTAGACAAAATAACGTATGTACTGTACGTATGAGAACATGGGGACAAATAAGTCTATTATTGCGTTATGACGAAAAGGTGGGACGATGTTCATCGAATGATTCACTAATTTTAATAATGGAACTAAACAACTATATTAGGTATATAGACGTATAAACATTTACACGGAGTATTCAGAGTTTACTCCTTTAAATTACTTTATATTGATGTATTTTCCGTATGTACGTACATTTTACATGTTTTTGAATAGGTAACTATAAAATTAAATCATCAAGTAAGATTTTATAGATGCATTCTCAATAATTTGAATTAGAAAGCAACAATTAGAAACGTGAAAGCAGTAATAAAAATTTGAATACGTACGTACGTAATGTACATACGTACTGTACATACGTACGTTCGTACGTACGTACGTACATACCAGATACGTACGTACGTACATATGTACATACTGTCGCATGTGTACAAATAATCACATGTATTTATTCTTTTAAAACAGATTGTTCATTATTGGATAAAGAATATTGCAGAAGTACAGTACTTGATTGGAGAAATTTCCTTGATAACGATAAGGCACTTATGCCTAATGACGCCTTTACTATTTCTGGAAACTCATTTTAACGGTATATACCGATATGTAACAAGTTAATCACCAATAATTCTTTATCAGGCCAGTAGTTGAAAATCATGAGGAATTCTGAGGAACTCTAATACTAAAACGTATTGGTATATAATCACAAGATTTTGAAGATGGATACGTACCAAGCTTTGAATGGGACAAAATCCAGATTAGTTTACATAATAAATATCGGATGAACAAAAAGTCTATAATTTTTAATTTGTTTTTTTTTTATAACAAAAGTTATCTTTATGCATATGTATTTGTCGTATGAGTCTAAAAATATCTGATAATATTATTTAGACTATACGTACTTTATTATTGTTATTATTATTATTATTATTATTATTATTTTATTAATTTAGAATGTGGAAACAGGTGACAGTTCATTATCTGTCATTACCATACGTACAGTACATACGTATGGTACGTATTTACCAACTTAACACTGATCGTTAAACTCCGCTCATTTGAGATTAAAAATAGGGGTTGAGAGGGGCAGTGCTTCGTTGAAGCTAAAATTAATCAATATAGGATTTGTTTATGTACAAGAAAGGAAAAGAATAATAAGAAAAATCATAATGAGATAACGTATGTGCGTACATATGTACATACGTACGTACATACGTTAAAACTGATTCATAACAGATAACAAGCATAATGACAAATAATATTATAGAACCAAATTAGTCTATTAGTTATTCTAAATGTAGATAAAAAGTCATTATCAAGTTTTCTATTTATATCAAATTATTAATAAACACACATATCAATATGTTTAAATTTATTACATATTGTCTATTAATTTTGTCCATTGTTCAGTAAAGTCCTTGTTTAGAACTGCATTATTTAAATGTCAGATCGTCATAAGGTTCATTGTTTGAACAGTTTAGATACAATGAAAAAAAAATAGTTTCCTGACAAAAAGAAAAGTGGTGATATTAATTACGAACTAAGAAGTTTGATAACAATGATAGAACGTTTTATTAAGGAAAAAAGGTGTTATGTGTAATCTTTATCTTATTTCAGGACAAATTCGATTTTCTTTTGTATCGGTATGTGATACGAAGTACCTAAAAGTACCTAAAAGTACCTAAAAGTAAAGATTTTCTCCACCAATCATAAAATTCCTATTTATATATAATATTCATCTACATAAAGTTTCATTGAATTTTCCAAACTCTACTGCTCTACGTATAATCCGAATAGTAAGGGATCCATGATTTTTTAATACCAGATACGTCTAATTTATGCGAGTACGTACGTAATTTAACGCCAGTCACACTTATTTTGAAATTGTTTGATCAACTCAATTACCTGTTCGATTTTGTACCACTGTCAAACAATCTAGAAAACTAGAAAAAAATTGATAATCTATAAATGGCGGGCTGAACACTAATTACTTAATTAATCTAGATTGTTATCAAAACATCATACTTTAAAATGCATCAAATTAAACTTATACTCACTTTAACTATTTGTTAAACTAATTGATGATGATCAAATATCTGTTAATACGTATTTTCTAATTTTCTAATAATTAGTATTTTTTGTATTAACTGTGAGTAGAATTCAGTATTACTATTGTAAAACATTAAACTAATGCATTAATATTCAATAATATTCGAGGATGATAAATTTTAATGCATTAATACTTAAAGATGAACATTGTGAATCCATAAAGAAAGCCTCTTTATTACGTATACATGAACTGACTTTTAACCTTATAGTAAAAATGCATTTAATTTTAATTGACTATCCAAACAAAGTAATTCATAATTTTAACAAAGTCGTCAGCCGGTTAGTTTCAAACCTCAAACCCGAAACAATCTAAACAATTTTATCTTTTATATTTTTTTCATTATCTCCACTCTAACGCCAAGTCTCATCGGTATAAAAATAATCCTGTTTAAACTCCCGGTGCACGTATCACATATCTGTTAATTTGTCAAATTTGTACGGAACTTATTACTGTAGTACCAACATTTTACACATCATATCATATAAATTAAAATTTCTAATTCTTCGATTAACACCCCACATATCAGATATATACAATAACCGGTTACGTACGTACGTACGTCTACTGTATTTTATAATAAGTAAATAAATAAATAAATAAATTATTTGGTTAAACTTGACACAATAACAATGAAGAAGTGACAAGCATTACGTATCTCCTCGCCATATAACGAGTATATAATCCGCTCATCTTATTAAACCATTGTTCCTTTTTCCGAACTTTTTTTCGCGCTCTTTTTTTTTTTTTTTTTTTTTTGTTTTTTTTTCGTTATTTTTTTTTTCCATCGAGTCTTCTGTTGACAGTTGATTATTTATAATAAACAAAAAATTTCTTTTTTTTTTTATTTTTTTTATATAGAAAAAACCAAATTTTTATTATTATTATATATATATATTATGATTATCTATCTTTTGTATTTTTATCTATAATAGTTTTAGATTTTTATTTTAGAAAAATATTAGTTAGCGTTAGTCTTAAAATTTTTTATTAGAGTTAAACCAAAAACGAAAAAAAAAAAAAAATTGAACAATTTTTTTTTTTTATACTCCTACTTTACCTATTTTGTCGTATTAATTATCGAATTTATAATTACTGTCATAGCAGATGGTTTCATTTCCTAGTAGCATTTACAATTTTTATTTCGCTTCGTTTTTCATAATCGTTTCATTATATTCATTATAATTCATTATTATATACATTTTTTTTATAATTCATTTTTTTTTTTTTATTCATTATATTCGTAGTTACAGTATACCAATTTTTTTTATCATTCAAATTTTAAATTATTCACAAAAAAAAAATTTCAAATTTCAAGAAAAAAGGAATCACAAACATCGTATCGCAATCGTACATATTTTTTTTCGATAAATATGAATCCGAATACTACGAGTTGGAATAGTACGAAAAGTAAATCAAGTAGTAAAAGTAGTGAAAATTCTAGAACTACTGATAAAAAATCGATTAAATCTCTTCATTTATCTCAATCAACTTCTCCCGATTTTACTTTTGAACAAGATATATTTGATCAAAAATGGCTAGATGATTTAGTTCAACATCGTTATGTAAAATTTATTCCGTTTGAAGAATTTGAAGATCCAAAAACTGTTTCGAATGAAATTAATGGTCAAGTTGGATCTTTTAAAAGTTTAAAATGGAGAAAGATGAAAAAACGTGTGGTCGTAAAAGAATTACAAAATATCGGTTCATTATCTGAAACTTTGAGGAAATCTTTTGTTAAAGAGGTATAATGCAAGTTAAATAAGTTAAATAAATTAAATAGTTAATAAGAATTATTATTTATTTAACAAAAATTTTATTTTAAATTGTCTCAGTTACAATGGCATTTAAACGTCGATTTTAACGAACGAATAATTCGTATTTCTGGTTTAACACAAGGTAATTTAATTCTCTTATTTAATGATTTATTTAATTATAATGATATTTCTTACGGCATTTCTTATAATACTATGATATTTCTTATAATATTATGATATTATGATATTATGATATTTCTAATAATATTATAATATATATATTTTTTTACGACATTTGATTATTTTCAGAATCACCTGAATCAATATATATACTAGTATTACAACATGCTGATGGTGGTTCCCTACAAGATTATTTGTCAAAAAACTTTAAAAAACTAGCGTGGAGCGACAAATTAACGTTGGCCAGAGAAATTGCTGAAGGGTTAAGATATTTACATACAAATAATATAGTTCACGGAAATTTGGTAATGTCAAAAATTATAGTAAAAATTTGCCTAATATTGCTGATGATTATTACATT